GGACCTGTTGGATACAGTTAGGCGCCAAACGTTCACCAAATCGTCGGTATACAAGCTGCCGTCCATCGTTTTTGAAGATGAGGAATCTGCTCTCATCAGAGAACATAACACGTGCCCAGTCCCGCCGTTGCCAACGTCGAACTCGTCTGGCCCAGATCAGTCTGTTGTTCCGGTGTCGAGGCGTCAGGAGCGGTCCGCGGTAGGGATGACGTGGCTGGATACCATACTGCCGTAGTCACCTGTAGACGGTCTGTCGACTGATCCTGTGTCCCAGTGCTGTAGCCGCCGTGGACGTCGCTGTTACGGTGCGGTTCCTCAGGTGTAATACCCGAATGTAACGATCTTCATGGGGCGTGGTTACTCGTGGTCTTCCACTCCTGGGCCTGTCTGACGTCTGACCTGTCTGACGTAACCGCTGCATCAACCTGGTGATATTGATGCGTGCGCAGCCCAACCTTCTGGCGACGTCGATGTGTGTCGCTCCTTGTTGGACCATTCCAACGGCTCTCTCTCTCTCGATGGCTGTCAAACGTGGCATATCTTGTGTTCTTTTTGTTGCTGTGATATCAACGTGTCTGATCAGCCGTTTTATACAGTTTTTATGCACGTGCAGAACATGATAGAGAGGGAAATGTCACTTTCATGAAATTTACGTTTTTTCACGTGTTCCCGGTATTTTTATCGACTATGCTGTGTTTGGGATGTGCAATACGAATTGGCATGTTTTCATATTAGACAATTCACTTAGTAAAAGACAATTTTGAAAATAAGTTGGTATCTTTTCCTTTGGACACTAGTTTAGAACAGCTATTTTAACAGTGTGGTTTGACTATCCCAAAAACATGTTCTTCCAACCGATACCAGCTAAAGATAAAATCACTTTCACGAATAAAGAAGGTAAAAAGGAAACTGGTAACAAAATCAGGTTCAGAAATGGTTTCTGTCACGACGTTTTAACACCGGTCGATATTCAAGAAATAGTGAAAGCCGGTGGACGAATTATTAGAATATTAGATGGTATAGTTTACGAAGAAAATTTTAAAACTCCACCCTATAGAGATTATATTTTAATTTTGAGAGATTTAAGAAATCAATATAAACGAGAAGGTAATATCGTGGGTAGTAATTGCATGAAATTATTAGGTAATTCCTTGTATGGTAAATCAATTCAGAAAGATATATTCACAACTAGACATTTATGGAATGAAGCAACTTTACAGGCCAACTTTGATTCACGCGTTAAAACCTATGAGAAAATTAATGATACTCAATATATTGTTGAAACAGAAATTGAAGAAAAAGAGATTACTACCGAAGATAGTAACTCTACACGACTAACACCTAGTCATTTGGGATCATTCGTTTTATCTCACAGTAAAAAAATAATGAACAATTTCATTCACGTCATAAATGGATTTTATAAACCCGAAATATACTATACCGACACCGATAGTTTGTACATTTCATCCAAAAATTGGAAAAAACTAAACACAGCTGGTTTGGTCTCCGAAAAAGACTATTGCAAAGGTAAAAACGATTACGGTGACGGTGGAATTATATTTGGTTTATATTTAGCACCAAAAGTCAAATACAACATCGTTTTGACTTCTGATGGTGTCTTAAAAGAAAAGAAAACGTTTATAGGTTATTCTAATGATAAGATAAGTGTAGAAGATTACGTTCAGTTAGCAAGCGGACATGATGTGTCGAAGGAATTTAATAAACCATGGGAAAAAAGTTTCACCAATGGAGTAGTTATTCCAAATGATAAACAAACTAAAGTTTTTAGAAGTTATTTGAATAATGTTAAAAGAAACCACCAAACAGTGAAGGAATTATGTATCCTTACAAAGACAAAGATGAGTATAGTTTTGACGAAAACTATGAATTTGATGATTTCGATTATCTTTCTAATCAAGAAGAGAATGAAGATTGTTTTAAATGAAGTTGAATGACAATTTCTTTGTTGCCAAAGTCTATGAACCTGTTTTTACCGTCTTTGATTTCCAGATTTATATCTTTGATCATGAAAGAATTGACTGGTAAATAGGTCGTTTGAAACGGTTTCTCTATAATTCTGTATCCGATCGACACCGTAAAAGTCGGTATGCTGTATATGATTTGGCGTTTGTGCTTGTTGAAAAATCCACCGTTGATCAAATTACAGTGAATGTTGATCACATTGATATCGTTCTCGATGTTGGCCTTGTGCGGCGCCAATGTCGATTGCGCGTATATTCATTTATTGAACCCTAGTAACGCATTCAACGAATTTTCTACGTTGAAATCGACTTGACTGTTATTTCTCAAGATCAGTTTTATTTTGTTCAGATTCAAATTACCTTCGAATTCGATATTGTTTTTACCGTTCACGCTTCCTGCGTATTCGGATAGGTAATCGTTGATGGCTACGTATTCGTAGCTCCCCGGTAGTAAGCTTATGGTTTCGAACGTAACTCCGTTATCCGTCGATATTTTTAGTTGATTGTTTTTTATCGTTGATGTTTCTAATGGAATTGTAAACAGAGAAATACTTTAATCCCAGTTCGTACTGTTTATTGCGATCGAGTTCATACTCGTAGTCTAGAGACAATTTGATGTCTGGTTTATTCGAGGTGATAACGAACAATTGTTCTTTATTGGACATTTTTAATGACGTTTATATAGTCTTTTTTAGTGATGATTTCTTTCTCCAAAAGTCGTTTTAATATGGCATTGACTTCGTTGTATTGTCTGTCCGATCGATGACCTTCCTTCATGGCCGCTAATATTATTTCTAATCTATTAAGCAATTCTTTATTGTTGTCATATAAAAACGTTATACCTTGCCCAGATGCCACCATATCATCGAATTCGTCTATTTCTTGTATGATTGGATAATCTTCTGCATAATCATCTACCTCCTCTTCCTCAATAACTTTTGTTATATAAAAATCAACTTCTTTCAATCTTCTTGTTTCGGGTCCTGACTTTCTGATCGCATGTAGAAATGTTGAGTATGCAACTAAATCCTTGTAATCGGCAATTTCAAAATCCTTGCCATTCATTAAATCTATTAACCCTCTCGTTAATGTAAATATAAAGTCTTTTGTGTCGATTTTGAATTGTGGTGAATTTCCACTAAATCTTATTCTAAAACCATTGAACAACAAACCCTCATCATCAACGATTGGTGAAATGCTCTTTGGTAAATCTGGGTCAGGGTTTGAAAAAAGACGTTTTATATCAACTAATTCCCTAATTATAATACCATTATATTCAATCGGTTTGGGTTCTATAGGAGGCATGGGTTCTATAGCGAGTCTCTTTTTAATATCTTCTTGATTTTTAATATGGGTTGAAATAGAGTCTGTAGATTTTCCGTTATTCCGAGTTGTTGTAATCTGTTATTTTCAACTTGGGTCTTTATTTTATTCTTAGCTTTGATATAATCTCTATTTCTTTTTAAAAAATTATTCCAATCCGTCATTTTTAAAAAAATAAAATTAACATATATCGTTCATAACTCTTTCTATCGCAGGTTTTCTAGTATTTACAAATACATATCCATGATCATCTGGGTTTCTCCATTGAGCTTTACAAACCTTTTTAAATGTATCTCTATCCATTCCGTGATTTATAGACTGAATGATTTGAGATAAATCTTTATCGTTTAATTCAAATAATAAAAAACAATTTGCATTTTTTCTAATGAACATAGAATCCATCCCGTAAAAAGATTGGGATTGGTATATGCAGTGACAGTTGTGATGTCTTCCTTTGGTGAAGAATTCTTGTTGAACAGTTTGATTTCTTTGCGCTACGCAGTCGTCAAACAATATTAAGTTCTTTCGATTGCTATCAATATTAGACAAGTCTAGATCATTAACATTTTTCGTAAGAAAAAACTTTTATATCCGTTGGATTGAAAGATGGATTCTTTGATTTAATGAAGTTTTCTATGATATCTTTTATTTCCACCTCTTCTTCGTTTTCTTCGTAATATTGAAATATGTCTTGAACATCTTTCTTTGGTAAACATTCCAAAGCTTTGAGGAATTGAATTGCTCTGGTGTTGTTGTGTAGATATACAGAGAATCGAAAACTAAAAGGTTTGGTGTTGTCAACATGTTAAAAGTGAGATGAGTTTTCCCAGAACCTGAACTACCGCATATACACATGAGCATTGGGTTATTAGGAAATATTTCTGAATGATTAAATTTTTTGCCCATTTTTATTTATTACATTTTTGTACCAAAAATCACCCCGTTGCCTTTATACTTTGAAAGGAAGATTCCCTCGCCCGAACGTATGTTTTTAAAAAATATGGCGGCGCCCTTGTGTTTGACCTTCATTTCTCCGGTGTCGATTTTATCTATTAATTTGCTTAATCCCTCTTTAACGGTTTTCTTGGTTTCTTCGCCAAATCTTTGTCCGAATTCTTTAACCGTCCCTCAGATATCTCCTACTCCCGAACCTCCTCGTGCTTCTCTTTCCATTGCCAAATTGTGTCTACGTGCTTTGGCTATCCCAGCAGCTCCACCAGCAGTTGCACCGGCTGCAGCTAAACCAGCAAAGATTAAAGGTAAGAAAGGTAAAAATCCACCTTTTTTAGTTAAATTCTCATCAATTCTTTCCAAGTCTATATCGTCTCTGACTTTGCAATGTTTGTATTTATCGATAATCTTTTGGGTTATATGCACTTTTTTACCGTTGTAAGTTATTAGAGTCGGCGAATTCGTTTCCATAGCTTCTATTATTTTCATAACTAAAGTTTCTGGTTTCATTTTTAAAGGGTGTTTTTTATTCAATTCTTATCATTCTTCTATCTGATATTTTAATCAAATGTTTTGCTTCTTCCAGCAATAAACAGTAGCCGGTCACATCTCCTTGTGTTTTATCATGTGAATATTTATGTTTACCCCTGTTTTGAAAAGATCTTCTTGATGAGCTGACGGATCGAAACAAAAGATTGGATGATTGAGTGAAAAATCTGTGTATTCAAACTGAGGCGTATTTCCAAACAATTCGCACATGTTTTTATAGTTTCTGTACAATTCGTTGTAATCTTTTTTGGAAGGATCAATTGTCAAAGGTTGATCCGGATAATTATCGTTGTTCAATCTGACTTGAGCTTTGCGAATGATGGGATCTTGAGTATGGTTCAATGTTGTTGTTGTTTGTCTGAGAGTCTGGCAAGTTTTTGAAACCGACCATTAGATATTTGACGCTGTTGGTGATTGGCCACGTGGTGGATTCTCCCGTTAAAGTCATGCTACCTACCGTGTTACGATGAAGAAAAGCAATTTCGATGTCTTTGGTTAAAGAGTTGAATATTCTCGTTTCCACTTCTACGGAAGGAGTAATTACCG